ATATATAAACAAAACCAAGTTGTTTTTTTACATTAGTAATTCCTTTTGTGCATAATTTTATATTGTTGCTGATAATAAATTAATTAAAGCAACAAAACAACCTGAAGACAACCTTCCATCTTTTGGAAGTAAAATGACACACAGACCGCCTACGATGGTCTCTGTCTTGACAAAATAATAACCCACTCAACTATTCTCCAGGCGTCAGTTATTTATAGAAGTCAGTGGCAGTGCTGTCTTCTTTACAAGCTTCTCCCCGAGGTTCCCCGTCTCTCAAAAGTTCTGTTCTACACAAATGAAGACTATCTGACACTGACACACTATCTGACACACATCTGTGTGTCAGATGTGAGTTACTCCGTCCCCGAGTGGGTGTGATGTCCTCTGAAGTGATGTAAACATGACTGTGTGTGTAGGTACCAGTATCCCAGCATGGATGAGCTGGCTGAGATGCTGCCATCTGTCATGACCCAGCTTCAGTAAGTCTGCCGTCTTCTGTTCAGTCAAGTGCATGATGGGTAATTTTCAGACAGACAGCATACCCTAATGTGTATCTGTGTGACATCATCAGCATAAAGAGCGTGATTGGTATCGGCGTTGGAGCCGGAGCATACGTCCTCACCAAACTGGCAGTAAGTAGCAAACAGGACGGGACAGGAGGGACAGGAGGGTCGCTGGTTTTCAGTCTTGATGATGATGATGATGATGAAGATGATGTAACTGATGACGGTTGTTGTCGTGTTTCAGCTGAATGAGCCCAGTTTGGTGGAGGGTTTAGTTCTGATTAACGTTGACCCGTGTGCCAAGGGTTGGATCGACTGGGCTGCCTCCAAGGTAACACACGCACGCACGCACACACACACAAACTCTGGATACCGACTCCAGCTGTCCTTAAACATCTGCAGGTGGAGAAATGTGGAGCCAGGATAAAATGAATACGTATGATTTGTTTTTTTTTAGTTTGCATCTTTTGAAAAAGAAGAAAGTAAACAAAGAGGAAGTTTGTTAATTTTATTGAACTAAAAGTCAACTTCAGATACTTTCTTATCGGTAATGGTTTGAAAGAAATGTTCTCACCACCACTTTTCCATGTGCATGCATGTAAAGCCAAAAGGAAGAGAGTGCAGTACTAAGACCCACACAGAAAAAAG